GGGTTCCTCCAGGATTTCCTCCACATTATTATGCATGATATTCACTTTTGTGCTCGTTGTAAATAAAGAATCACCCTCGGGAACGTAAATACAAAGAAAACAACAGCGTAACGTAGAATCAATTTACTTATTTCCTTTTCTGACTAACCATTGGTTCCTGAAACCAAAATATCTGTATTCAACACTACAGAGATAATAATATTTTGTAAATTAGGATTTTGGTCTCTGAAATCCACGGTTAGTCATTTGCTTTACAATTTCAAAGGTGTTAAGGTGGTCAGGCGCAGAAGGCGTTTAAATAAAATTAAACAAAACATTGAATCGAATTCACTTAGATATTGTAATTTAATTGACGATAATGTAGAGCGTTTGTTAAATTTTTAGCCAAGGATTTTATCTGCTGTCTCTACTTATAATATATTCCTAATTTAGTTATAACTAATATCTAGTTAAAGCGTCAATAGCCTAATGGTTAAGGATACGGATTTCCGATCACGAGGTCGGGGGTTCGAATCCCGCCATTCGACTATTGTCGTAAACCATATCCTAGCACAAGCTAAGAGCTTATTTGGAATGGTAAAAAAAATATTAGTGAATTTCCAAAAAAATCTGCTAATATTTAAAAAAAAAGTTTGATTTGAATATTAGAATCTAATCTATTGATGTTCGTTAGTCTAGCTAAAACTTGAGAACGGCTGAACGGATTTATCTTATCTTGGCCTTGAAATGTTTGTGGAGGTCTAGTGAAGGTTTAAAAGACGAGAAAAAAATCAAGTAATTACCGAGAAAAACCTAAAAACAGCCCTTTTCTTTTTTCCATATAAGCGGTTGAATGGATCTTGCTGAAATTTAGTATAGATGTAAAACATAGCCTGGAAGAACACATAGGCTAATAATTATGTTTTTTCTTAATTATGCGCGAAAGGAGACGCGGGCGACAGCGAGTATTAAATATATATTATGTCAAGTAGTAGTATATGCCCATCTCTTTCACACAATCCATCTATACTTCGATCATTCTCTACCTTTGTAACCATACAATCTCATTACTTTGTTAACGCTTGTTAATACTATCAATATGAAATCAATGTAAGAAAATTGTCCAAAAAAAGGGTTCAGATGTTATCCTTGTAGACGTCCCGTGGGAATATAGAGCTGGCACAAGGCGATCCAATCTGACGTCACGGGCGAAGCGCGAGGGCTGGTTCTTCCTGGAAATCTGGGATATTATAAAATCAATGATTGTTTTTAGTCTTAGACATAAAATGTTTTATTTAGGGTTTTTATATTTGACTGGATTTTATTCATATTTTACTATTATTATTGCAGTCACGTATGGCTTAAAACTGTACTATAATAGATACCTATTGTTTTCTGTTCATGATTCGAACCTATGATAACAATTATGTTATTCTAATTTAACCACTGAACAGTTATAACTTTTTAATTCCATTTTGTAACACTTTAAATGTCTCAGTTTGTAAATTATTGGGACGTTGTCGTGTAGGGTGCATTCGGTATGTACCGGATGCGTTACGGTTCGTCTGACCAAACGGAAAATAATAAATCGTCCCGATTTCAACTCTGTCTGGCTCCCCAACCCATTTAACCTTGAATATGTTAACGGCACTAATTGTTAATGTCAAGGTAAATGCTA